TCCGTTTATTTTCTTATTGCAAACATGAAAATTTGTCACGGAGGGGACACTCACGGAGGGGACAAATCGCACTTTCATCAAATTTCACGACGACAACAAAGTTGAAAATTTTTTTTCCGATCACGCACAAAAATTGTTTGTATAGACGAACGTTTTTACGCCAGCAGATTCAAAAATAAAAATTGCTAGCTCAAAAACTCGTCGATCACGGAGGGGACACTTTATTTTACTAGTACGATTTTCGTGTGCAAGTATTGTTATAGCGAAGTTGCAACTAAGATTTGAATATTCTACGGGTAAAAATCGAGTACCTTAGTTCTGAAAAATGACCCTCGTATAGTTAGAGAGGTCAAAATTATTGTCTAGCACGTTTACTGGCACTATATTTGTAATGATGTAAAATTTCACATAATTTAAGGACACATTTGTAACTTATGTACAATTGTTTTGAGACTATTTAAGATGACGAGTCATACAAAAAAACTTTCTTTAGGATGTATAGAATAAGGCCCATGTATCACAATATTGCTGGATACTTGTAAAAATATTTTTAATGAGTGAAAACAATCGATTCTGAGTTCAGGACAGGTCACGGAGGGGACATTTGGTGTGTTTATGCGGCTGGCAAATCGATGTGGTCTTTTTTTATGGAAATTTTATAGTTGCGGAAGGTAAAATTCGGTAAAATGAAAGGTTCTACCGTCTTAGTTTTCATTTTTTCAAAGTTTTCTTATAGCTACAATAACAAGACATGTCATATCACGCTTTTGAAATAATGCACCAGATACGTATCTCTACACATGTGTAATGTGACGTAAACAGGGAGTAAAGCGTCTGTGTGTGTGTTGTATACGACTTTTTTTCTCTCGCAGCTAACTACTCCACTCCAACTTCAAGTGACATTGCATAAGATGCGTCTGCCTATACTAATAATTTCGCCCTGAACTTTTGATATCCGCAGCCTCGCCTCACAATAGCTCGATATTATATATCGACGTGAATCGTCAATGAAGAAGTTGGTAAATTGGAATTGCGAATGGCGCAAAAACGATGATAGGTCAAAGACGAGCAGACAGAGAGACAGAGAGAGAAAGCGAGAGAAATTGACAAAAGTTTTCTACGTCAATGCTATTAATAAAGAGGCTGCCGCCGCCGAGTGGTTACCGCACGCCACTTTTCACTTTGATTTCATTCTCTATATAGCCCTTCGATTCTCCAAGCCCCGCAGCTATCTATCTATACACATGCATAATATATAAAAGTGGTCAGGATCGATTGTCTCAGCTGCTGCCGTGGCTGCCACAGTCGCCAATATAAAATTTCTAGATTGAAGCGACTTCGAGGACGAGAAGAATCGAATATACAGTCCATATCCAACACAATGCGGACAAATGGAGAAAAGAAAAGAGTCTGGCGCTCGGCTGCGGCCAACGAGCGTGACACTGGACGATTTAATCTAATTCCCGAATATCCTACAATATATACGGCCGAGCGAGCTTTCGTATTATCTCCGGCGCACAACGCGCGCGACGAGCATAAGAGAGCTCGAGGCCTTTTCTCTACGGTCCAATTCCGCGCGTAATAAATACCCTGCGCCTACGTACATATATATATGTGCCGCCTATGGGCTAAGGATATAAGCTTTCGTCGTGCGCTTCGAGTCGCGCACCAACGGACCTTTGCGTACATATAGCTGGCCTATAGATCTCCTACAGCCGGGCTTAATACAAATTGATATGGAAGCTCGGCTTTATAGTAGCGACATTAATTAAACGTCTCGTTATACATATTTTTTCGTAGCTCTGGCTGTTTGCGTGGCTCGAAGAATAGTGCGCACACCGCGAAGATTATACCATTACTGTAATCGATTGGACACACGCGCGTCTATGCACTTTGGGTGTATGGAAATTAATTGGGTGGCTCGTTAAGATCGAGCACAAAGCGTAAACGTGTGACACACGGCTCTCACTTATTACACATGCAATAGAAGCAGTAGCAGCAGCAGCAGTAGAAGCGGCACTCGAAATCGAGACGCGCGCGCGACGCTCATCGATCGATACATATATTCGAGCTTCACCTCCTCTCCCGCCATTTTCTCGCGGATCCCTCGGCTACATATAAGTACTCTGCATGTTATATCTTCATTCTTTTGTCCTTGGATTCTCCGAGTCGGCTCGTTTTTCGCTCATTCGCTCGAAGCGATGCTCCCTTCGTTTGATTTTATTTTTTTTTTCCTTCTCCATCTATATCGACCCTTACGCAATCTCTTTTTTTCTATATTATTCCGTGTGAATCGATCGAATTAGTCTGAAAAAATTGCATACATCCCGTCTCGTTGAATTTAAATGCATAATACTGTACGTACGCAGGCGTAAATTAATTCGCGCTCATTAGTCGAGCTGGAGAGATCGCCGACGCGACTTGATGCACGCGTCAATCAAATTTATCGTACTTCTCTCGCTCCGTCGCGTCTCTCCAGTGTGAAACGACGCGTTATTTTCTTTTGTCGAATAAATCGCGCACGGCTGCATATAATATGCGTACGCACGTATCGCAGGGCAAGATTGGAACGAATATCGCACACGCGCAATCGTATATATAGGAATATATATAAGGCACACTCACGAAGAGACGCGCGTGCACATTTTCTGGTAAAATATTGTTTATCGACGTGCCGCGTACGAGCGACACGTGCGGCTAAGCTTCTGTATAGTATGTATCGAAGTGCATACGCGTGGCGACGAGAAACAGTTGAAACCCGCTAATTGGCGCTCGCACATACACCCACGCGCCGTCGTTCGAAAATTGGATTTTCATTTATAAATTTGTCGCGCAAGTTGGCACATGTCATTGATTTCGGAATTCAATCGTTGATTTTCCTGCTATCGCGTAATTATCCCAAAATGTTAAATTCACTGCGCTTGGACGAGAAACTATGGCGAAAGTAGAGCACGTAAAATATTGCATAGCGTATTATATAGAAATTATTCTAATTCATCAATTTTCCATTCGGCTGACGCGACGTACTCGTTTTTTTTATTTTATTTTTTCCTTCGCGTATGTGGAGCAAATTTTGCCCATGCTCGCTCGACTGCGAATGTGGATGCATCGCGAAAATGTGGTCGAAACCTTGTGTAGCAAACACACACACACATGGACGGACACGCCAGTCGCGTGCACGCGTGAGGATATAAAACGTATAAGAAAACGAACCCTCGCGGCCCCCCGTAATTTCGTATGTATGCATCTATACCGTTCCGAATTCGTACATGTGCTGCATTATATGTGCATTTAAATGCCGCACACGCGCACATACACACACCGACTGTACGAACTCGATACATGTATAATGCACACGATGCAGTGGAGGAAAAACGCCACTCGTTTCCTCCCACGCGATTCTCGATAGCACGCAAAGCGTATCATTGCTCGCGTCACGAAAATATACAGATATCGCGCGACGCGGTCTTCTTAATAAAGTTTTTTATTCTTTTTTTTTTTTTTGTTCCAGAGACGCACACGCACTATAAAACGCACGCAGGATTCATTTCTCGCTGCTGGTCAATGATCCTCGAGCTGCTCTCGTCGCGCGCGGGGTTTTAAATGTATAGAAATGTATTGCAGCAGCAGCAGCAGCAGCAGCAGCAGCAGCAGCAGGGGTCACAAGGGGTCGCAGCAACAGCGACGCACCAGCAGTACAAAGCCAAAACAAAGATCCGGTCACGTGCTTCGTTCCCATTTTTTTTCAGCTCTCCTTTTTTGTTACATACCATTTATGGAACTAAGGGGGGTTGGAGCAACGGCGGGGGTGGGTCCGTATACTGTCTGTGCATTGCGATCTTGCTCTGTGCGCGCTGCATCTCTCCAGAGAGCCCGAAGAGAAGCTTTAATTGGAGAACTCCATCGGGGATGGACTTGCTCGCACACACACACACACACATACGCACGAGTTCGTACACCCACGACTCAAGAGTTGTAAGCTTACAACACAGGGGGCTGGCGAAATCTGAATTATGCATATTTGTTCTCTGTGTGCGTATGCTATGCTGCGCGCGACGCGACCCTTTCATCTTTTAATGTTTTCGGGTAGAGACCCATATTGATATTGGACGAGGCAATCTTTGCAATTCTCAATATTAAAGTTCAAAATATATACAGATGTTCCGTATGCACGAACACGGTTAAAAATCAAGAAGCAGACGCGAAAGAAGAGAGGAAGAGGAAAATACGAGACGCGATCGTTCACGCAGTTGGAAAATCGAATAAAAATTTCCATATTGCGAGTCTCCGCGTGCGACGATGAAAGAACTCGCGACGTCGCTACATTATACATAAAGAAATTCAGATTCATAATAAAGATCGCACACTTGACATCTCGCTCTGGTATTTACACGCTACGACATGACGATTTCATTATGAAGTATAAATGTGTGCGTCTATATATGTACTCGTGAAGAGTCAGAGAGAGTCGAGTTTATTCCCATTGCGGATTACAGATCGGATATTATTGTGTCCGTAAAAAAAAGTCTGGTGTACAGCTGAGCGACTGCGACGCGTTGCGCTGACGTTACCCGGGTTCAACTACGATGATTCCTCTCTTCCTTACACACATATACGGAACCCCTTTTTTGCCCGGCGCTTATGTATATTACATAGAGTGTACAGTCGACGGCGGAGCTGTCGCGAGCCCCTTCGAGGCCCTTTTTTAGCCTGCGCTGACGCACGTCTGCTGCACTGCTGATACGCGTGTGTGTACACTTGCACCAACACACACACGCGAATATACGCGCGCAAATACACGCCCACGCTGCTTTCAGTTTTTTTTTACCATTTCTTTTGCTCGCGTAGCTTCCAAAGCGTGTAATGCAATCAACGAGAGCTAGTTTAATTCGCGACTTTAATTTCGAGATAGAGCCAAAACCTAATGCGTTCTGTGTGTGTCGTATAATTGTGTCTAGAGGTATACACGAGGATAAAATTAAGTGGATCGTGCCACTCACCTGCCAGCCCTGCAGCAGCAGGCTGCGGTCGACCGTCCTCAGCCACATGACGGCGTCGCCGGCCTGAAAGTCGCGCAGCTTCACGCACTTGGCGTGCAGATAGACGCCGAGGCACTTGAGCAGCTCCGACGTCGACGCCTGTATGACCGTCTTCCTCGAGGCCGGCGCCTGCTGCTGCTGCTGCTGATGATGATGCTTGCCACCGCTGCTCAACTGATGCTGCTGCTGCTGCTGCTGCTGATGGTGGTGGTGATGATGATGATTGTGCAGCAGCTTGTTCTCCTGATTGCAGAGCGACACGCCCGTCGTCGTGTGCGAGTGCTGCAGGTGCGGATGATGGTGATGCTGCTGCTGCTGTTGATGATTGTTGTTGTTCAGAATAGGCGCCTTCGTCTGGTACGAATAAAAGGACGCGTTCATCGGTGGCCCGATCATCGACACCTGTTTTCGAAAGACGAGCAGAGATTCGTGCTTTTTTTCCTGTTTTTTTTCCTTTTTGTTGCTTCAATTTCTCCAATTTCCAATTTTACTTTACTTTACTTTGCCAATTGACCAAATACAATACCGATTTACTTCGCTCTACTTGCATTTTACGTATATAATTTACTCAAGCCACACAGAAAGACATTTGGCGACCGCATCGAGAAAACGATGCACTTTTTGACGTGCACATTTTATCATGTGACACAAAAACTAAAAAAAGGAATTTTTTGAACGTGAAAAAAATGCCTACAGCAGACATTTTTTTTCACCGAACATGAAATTTCAGTTTTTGTGCCACACGAATCGTTGATTTCTCGACGCAGTTGACTAATTTCATTCGGTGCACAGCAATATTACGTTGATCTACGATATACAGTGATATATTTTATGTTATTACTAATAATTTTGTATTACAAAAAGCTCACACACACTCTCTGCTACGTTTATTCGATTGATGCGAATGTACGCATCGTCGTTTATTCGATACAGAAACACGATAATCCACATTGTGCAATATGCAAGCAAGCATTGCTCGACCAAAAAAAAATTAAGCAGTTAAAAAAAAAACTCATCAAAATTGGATGCTCGAAAGAAAACTTCAGCTGGACTGAATAATAAAGTTGGATAACTCATACAGCGTACACGAGCGCGTACTCATGTACACACACGTATTACACATGCTAAAGCCAGTGCTATACATATGTGTGTGCTGCAAGTGCTATGCATAAAAGTTGGACGTTTCGTATCGACCTGAACGAGGTCGACGACGCAGATCGACGTAATATAGAGAAGAAAAAAAAGCGCGGATACTCGAGCATTAATTGTCGCAGTGTGCAAAGAGAGAGAGAGAAAGAAAGAGAAAGAAGCAAGAAAAAGCGCGTATACATAATTTAATATCGTTCAATATGGACGCGATTTGGTCGAGCAAAAGAAAATCATCGTACAAGAAAAAAAGCGTGCAAGTGTGCCATGCTTTGCAGATTGCGCAGCCAAAAATTAAGATGCATATAATAAAAGATCGATCGAGCTTTCACATGGTAATATAGGTATATATGCGGTAGTACACAGCGCGTAATAATAGTAATAATAATAATATAAAATAATGTTTATGCGAATAAAGCTCTCTATATAGCGGTGCCACCGAATCAAAAATATATATAGCATTATACATTGAAAAAAGAAGAGAAGGCAGTTCTCACCTGGGGCGTCTGGATGTTCTTGTTCTTATCGGTAATAGGAATGTTGTCGAGCGGCTGTCGGAACTTGGCGTTCTTGTTCTTATTGTCGAGCTTCTTCTTGTTATTGTTGACTGTGCTGAACCTCTTCCACGAGAGGGCCCCGATGATGTACGAGTTCTTCTTGAGATTCTTCTCGAGGGCCGTCTTCTCGGAGATGATGCGCGCGTTGTCGTTGTTGTTGAGGTTGATGTTGTTGTTCTGCAGCGAGGACGAATTATTGGTCGTCTGCGTCGTCGTCGTGGTGGTCGTCGTCGTGACGAGGGCCGTGGTGCCGGTGGCCGACGAGGAGGTCGTCGTGGTGGCCACCCCTAGCACCGCCGCCGCCGACGTCGCGGTCATGCTGGCCTGATTCGCGGCGGCGCTCACCGTCTGATTCGTCATGGTCGTCGCGCTGGTGGCGCAGGCGGCCACGGCGACGCTCTTGTTCTTGACGTTGTTCAACTGCTCGGCGTAGTTGCTGTAATTGCTGACTACGCTGGTCGGCCGCTGATGATGCTGACCGGCGCTGCTGGCGATGGTGCCGCAGCTCTGGGACTGCTGCAGCACGACGCTGGTGCTGGTGGTGGCGGTGGTCGACGACGAGCCGTGGCCGTGCCTGTCCCGAGGGCTCAGCGACAGAACCGTACCCATCTCAGGTATCGGGTCCCGCTGCTGCTGCTGCTCCGAATCGTTCGACGAATACAAATGTTCTGTGGCTACGAGGGCCTCTTGGTCGATGGGTTGTTCACTGGTATTATTGGGTGGCCGCGCCGGGCTGAGGCTGGTTATTCTGGGTGGGGCTGGGGGCTGCACGCGGGGCACAGTGCCGGCTGCTAGGGCGAGGATGCTGCTGGCCGCCGAGGCTTGCTCCCTCGTTGGCGGCGCTCCGGATCCGGCCGTCAGCCTAGTCGGGCTGCTGCTCGACGAGGCATCGCCCGGCTCGACTGCTTCCTCCACCACGGGACCCACGACCTCGCTCAGCCGTCCTCCCAGCCTGGCGCCTTTGCGGACTGGACCGAAATGAGCTCGCGACTCTCTCTGTCTCTATCTCACTTCTCTCTCTGCACCACCACCCACACTGCTGTATACGCACTCACACCGACACTCTGTATCTATATACCTCTGCTCCCTCGCGACGAGGCACCCTCTATATATGTACGCGCACTCGTAATAGACACAAACTTGCGTGAGCTTTCACCACTACTGGCTGTCGGTCGCCTCGCGAGAGATGGTCTTTAAACTTGCAGCGTATGCAACCGTTATTATCCTTTTTGTTATTTGGTACGTCTTTGGCGGACGCTTCGCCCTCTGTATAAGGCCTCTCTCTCTTGCTCAGTCACTCCGAAGGGTACTGTGCCGAGAGACAGACACACAGACAAAATGGCGCGAGCGAGCGAGCGAGCGAACCGATCGATCTCTCCCTCGCACCCGCGTTGCTGCTACTCCGCTACTACTGCCTTGCGACTGCTGCTCTGGCTTTTCTGCTGCTGCTGCTGCCACTGGCCGTGCCTATAGCTGTGTGTAGCGTGCGCGACACCCTCACTCGCGTCGCGTTTGCACGCACACACACACACGCACAGCGACGAAACGAACGGATATATACGGAGCCGAGCGGGGGATGTACGTATACCTCTACGGGGTAGCTCCGCTCGCCCACAACACCGTAAACACAACGCACACGAGTACAGACGAATGCGCGCACTCACTGCTCTATGAACACACACACAAACACACTCGGACACACCGAGTCGACGCGCGAAATTATTCAGCAGCAAAGCCCGCAAAGCCCGCGCATAGAAGAAGGGAGCGACGAGCTATGGAGCTTTTGCTAGTAGTGGTGGTGGTGGTTGTTGTTGTTGTAACGAAAGCTCGGCACGCTGCACCGCACACACACGCACACACGTAGGGGCCAAAGTCGCGCGTGCTGCTGCTACGATGATCCTTATGGACTCGTCTCGTGCACTCTATCCCTGCGCGGCACACGAGGAGCTTTTTTTTTTAATTTTTGACGGGAGCTTTTTTCTGCTCTGTCGCACGACGCGTTATACGCGAGATTCGAAGAGAGACTGCGACACCGCAGCTCTGATTCTTCGATCTGATTGATATCTGTACGGACGCGTACACCGAAGCTGGTGGTGCTGGCCGCGTTATAAAGCTCGAGCTGGCTCCAAGGCGTGCAGACGACGACTAGTGGTGCAACTGCCTGCGACTTGTTTTGATAATGCAGCCGCGAGCGAATTACTCTCTCTCTCTATCTCAGGCTCAAAGCTTTCTCAACCCTTTTACGTATAACATGTACAAAGCTGAGCCGCATTCTCCGTCTCCGTCACTCGTATGTGCATGCATCATACGCTCGGACGGAGCCTAGGTGTGCGCGCGCGCAATTCCGTTTACAACGCAGCAATACAGTATTGGAATACAGTACGATACATACGATGTACGTACACGTAATAGCTGTGTGCATGTGTGTACGTACCGAGTAACATACACAGGTAAACGGCTTCTCCAATACTTTCTCCCGATCGAGTGGTCGAGCTATTTTGCGCCCGAGACTTACACACTCATTACGTATAATGTACATGCATAGATGCACACATGTACCAGTTCACACTGCACGATGTATACGTGTGTGTGTGCGTGCATTGATACATAAATGTGCATAAAACTCGGCTATATGTTACTCCACTGCTGCTATCTGCATCGAAAACGCTAAAAACGTAGTAGAGGACGACGCGCAGCTTGGCACGCGCAGTCGTTCGATAACATTAGCAGCAGCAGCCACCCCTTGAACGACTCCCACTGCACACACCACTGCGCCACATTTACTCCCTCTCTGAGAGCTGCACGACGACGACGACGACGACGTTGCTCGGGTGTAGGATAGTGGTAGGATAAAATATTGCGATCTCTTTCTCTCTTCAGCTGCAGCACTGCTGTATATATGCTATCTTGCACCCCTACTACGACTGCCGCTGATACGTGCGGGTATTATCTATGTGCGTGTGCCGTATACATCATCGTGTGTGCAGCAGCGAGTCGCACTACGACGACGACGACGACGACTCGGACTCAGACTCATACTCAGACTCAGACGTATATGAGAGCACTTTCGATGCAAGACACTGTATATAAGGCACTTTTTACGATTGCCCGTATATAATATAAGTATATCTACGAGGTCGCTTTTACGACTCGGGGGGTAATACGAGAGCTCGGCGATGACTGCGTATAATGCGCTCGTAGCCCGACACTACACTGTAATGCTCCATGCCTCGTGGTATATTGCAGCTCCTCCGGTCGTTATTATTAATATCCTGTTTTATATGAATGTAGTCGATGTCGTCGTCGTCGCGAAATATCACGGACTGATAAATCGCTCGCGACCGAAATCGGTAGTTTCGTGCAGCCACGCGAGATATGTGCACCTGCTCTATCGCGATCTTCAAACATTCGCGCTCGTGATTCGAGACCGTCGATCGGCCTCGTGTATACGAGCGAAACTGAGGCACTGCTTTTATTCTTTCTTTTTTCTCTCGTCCCCCAGACCCCAGTGTATAGTCGACCCATCTTTTTGGAAGTTGCTCAGAAAAGATTCGCACGCGCTTCAATACACACACACACATTTTTTTGCGTGCTTGATGTGTATATAAGGTAACGACACTCGAACCTTGAAACGTCGCGATCGAGCCCGACCGAACGAAAGCCGATGACCGGCGAGTCGTCATTCGGCCATTCGTCTCTTGGGCGAATACGACTAAGCCCGCGCGTGCCTTTCTAATGACATTTTCGACAAATCGAGTCATTTCGTGAAATTAAACGACGACGACGACGACGATGACGACGACTTCGCGCTTGACTATCGTAACTGGTCTATTCGCATACTTATACATACACGAGTGTGCGTATGTGTGCATTATTTACTTTTCAGACTCGTTACTCTCTATACACTGCTACAACTCGTGTAACTGATGCTCGCAGAACCCAGTGGTGCTTTAAATATTATCGCGCCCGAGTGACTGACCTGCCAAGGTTAACGGTAATGTTATTTTGCCAGCAGCATGTGTGTGTCTGTCCGCGGCGCCAACAATGTAACATGTCGCGTGGGTGTACACACATACAAAAAACACACACACGATCGGGCTCGGCGCGGCCCGCGAGAAAACGAGTGTCAAGCACGAACCGAGAGCGACAAATACACGCACGCGACACTTCTTGTATATACCGTATTTATGTATCCGCACGTTCGACTTTAGCTGTGAAATAATTCATAAATAATATCATATATGCAGACTGGTATGTATGTACATTACGGGCATTAAAAGCTCGTTTCGTGTATACCTAAACAAAAAATTCGAGGCAGGTTGATTTTACTCTTTTTTTTGTACACGCGCGCGATTTTTGACGTAATCGACCTTTGGTCGTTAGTTAAACTTTTTGACATTCGACTCGTGCTGGCTGTTACTGCTGCTGCTGCTGTGGCAATTTTAATGTCCAAATCATGCGACTACTCGATGTGTATCGACACGCGTAATGTCTACACACGGTATATAGACGGGCGCACACAGATATAGTGCAAGATCAGGTCAAAGGGGCTCCGTATCGAGTACTCGAAGCTGCCAATCCGATTGTCATTTTCCAAGTGATTTAAGCGTGGCTATGTGCCGCCGCCGCCGCCGCCGCCGTCAGAGTCACAGTCACCGTCGGTTGCACTACGGCATTACGTGTATAGCGAGATGCTCTCGATAATAATCCACAAGTCGATAGATGTTATGTATGGCAGTACATAATACACATATATAATATTTGAAAGCTCGCTCGCGGGCTGAATCATCGACACGTGTTGTATACATGCGACTACTGCTCGGGCTGTGCGGAGTCGCGCGTCCTTGACTTTGTTACCGAACGATTTGAGCCCAAGCAGATACTTATATATATCGACGCCGCGTTAGCTCCCAAAGTAATTCGCATAAACGTCGCAATATAAACGTCCAGAACTCTTATACGTAATTTAACGGGTATGTACGCTTCGTTTATTTGACTCGCGCGCGCTTCACCCATCGCACCGTATAATCGCCTCGTTTTATTTCCTTTCTTCTTTTTCTTCTTTTTTTTAACGTTTATTCTCTTTATTAATCACTCTCTGCATGCGGCACCCTCGGAGCACACTCATACAAAGTTTCGAATGTACAGTTCACGACTCGGCCAGGCCGCGCACTGCACGCTCCTATTTCGATTGAAAAATTTATTGAAAAAACTAAATCATTTACGAGTAGTGACGCTCGTCCATATAGCGGCGCGCTCTATATATATAACGTAATACTTGTGCGAGTGTGTGTGAGTATATGTAGGTCAGAATCGAGGCAAGAGAGAGAGAGAGAGAGAAAACGTCCCAAGCCCAATGGGTTAATATTATGAGTCGCGGGTCGCTTTGCGCGCGCGCTCCATCGCCTTTATATTTTTATATATAACACACGTGTATACATGCGCCAACGTAAGTATACGTGCTAGAAACACTGGCACTGCAGGACGAGTGGTGTGTGCAACACATTTTACATCGATAAGCCCGAGGAATAAAAATCAATTGACCTGAAAAACATCTCGCTCTCTTGGTGCATGCGTGTCGGTATTGCAACGGAACAACGTGTAATGTACACGTGAGCGCAGTGATATCATGCCACGTTCGATCGATATTTATTATATCAGTTTTTTTTGGCAGAGCCCACCGCATTGCTGCTGAATTATTGATGCTAGTCATTCCTCATGCTGGCGAATCAAAAGGACTGGAGCTCGATTTGTTTTTATTTATGACTGGTTCGAAATTCTCCATCGAAAACGCTTATGTTGTTATTTGTTGTCTTTCTACTATAGTGACCCGGCAAGGCTGCACGAACCTTTGTAAATTATCAATTCGACTCTTAGCTTTTTCGTGGTTTTTATGAGATTATCACCGGAAGCCACTCTCGCTGCCTGGGTTAAAAGCAACAGTAAACTAGAATGAAAGATCGGGTCAATGCCGCGGTTAACGATTCGTAATAACGTATAACATTTCGATTGATCTATTTTGACATGGATTTGGGCTAATGGACGCCTGTGTTTATTGCCATGTGGCGTTTACTACGACAGAAAAAAATCACATTTCATTCTACGAAATACATATTCGTACAGTTGTTGTTTTCATTTGCTGCAAACTAATACGATTCGTTGACGTTTATTTTAAAATTTTTTAATGAGTAAATTTTTTAGTTGCAGATATAAACATTTTTTTCTTATAGAGGAAGCTCTGTATTAGGCTCAAAAATGAGTTTGTAAACCAAGTACTGTCAAACAAATTGATTTACTCATATGTAAATACATTGAATTTCCAACAAATCTGTGTATGCATGAGTTTACATGAACATTTTTTTTCGATTTTTCTGATTTCTATTTTTTTTGTATGTCTAAAAAAAAGAAGCATTTCTACCGCAAACATAGCAGAATCGGGGTTCTGTCTGCGCTAGCTCACGTACTGTTGTTATTATTGTCGCATAACTTACATACACGAGCGCGCCCTACTTCACTATGTGTATGTTTTTCCCGCGTGTCAGATCTAATGTTACAAGAGGATCAAAAATTACTTTATTGAGGTAAAACGTGATTAAAAGCTGCCGAGATCTCGACAAAAAATATAGAAATTATATAAATAAGTTACGGATAGACGTAGCATTCCGTGTTCCAAAGGACGAAAAATATCTCTGTTCGCACAGTGCACACAATTGCTTTATGTCCAGTCAACTGTAGAGGGGGGACGTACGCAACGCCAGGCAGCTATCACGATCGCGGGTATACAAGTGTAGAACTTGCTAATATCGAGTTATAGAACTAAATTCCTGCAGTATGTAAGTGTTTAACCTTAAATGTTTGTGCGGTGCGTATTGCAAAATTTTCCAGTAGATATCATAAAATAAAGCGAGTAATGGAAAACAACGGATTTATAGTTAGGTAAGAATATTTTTAATCCCATGAAATCTTTTGAAACTATCACTGAATCAAACTGGATTGTTCTTCAGGGTGAAGGAAGAGCCGGATGATACTAGGTCAGGTGTAAGCGACGATAATGATTTCGATTCTGTGGACTCTTGCCAAGTGAAAAACTTTGAAGAATTGTCTTTCAATCAATTATCGGTGAGTTCATTCATTTGAATAATATTCTGTTTTTCCACAATCCGAAACTATTACACGATTTCAAATTTAGGCAAATAACGCTAATGAGGTTATGCTGTTACAGGAAAAATTGGATGAAACAATATTCGTCGATATTGAGTGCAAAGATGTTAAACCTGAACTGCCATCTCTACCGAAAATCATCTGCAAATCTGAGGATAGAAGTTGTTTACCTATTGTGAAAGTTGAGAACCCAGTTGAGCCTAAAGACTTGAAAGGCGGAGAACTAATAATTTTGATAAAAAAAGAATTCGATTATGATAATAACTGCCAATTTCAAGTCAATGCCCGATTGAAAAGTGACGAATATAGAGAGGTTAAAATTTTAAGAAAAACTAGTACAACTAAATTATCTCACGAGTGCAAAATATGTCGAAAACCTTATAAAAGAGAATCTAATCTAAAAAAACATATGAATACGTCACATAAGAGCAATAGACCGTACGGATGTGAGGTTTCTAAAAAATTATTTAGAAACAAGCATCACCTCAAAAATCACGTAAATGAAGTACATGATCAAATCAAACCTTACGAGTGTGAAATTTGTCACAAATCATTTGGACGCAAAGGTGACCTCAACAGACACTTAAATTCAGTACATAATCAGATCAAACCATTCGAGTGTGACGTTTGTCACAAATCATTTGGATTCAAGTACAACCTCGAGACTCACATAAATTTAGTACATAATCGAAGCAAACCCTTTGAATGTGATACTTGCAAAAAATCATTTGGACTAAAACGAGGTCTCCAACATCACGTGCACGCAGTACATGACCGTATCAAATCCTTCGAGTGTGAGATTTGTCACAAATTATTTGGATTGAAAGAACAGCTCGCTTCACACATTAAAGCAGTACATCTTCGTAGAAAACCATTCGAGTGCGACATTTGTAACAAATCATTTGGACGAAAACTAGACCTTCAACGTCACGTGAACGTAGTACATGACCATATCAAACCCTTCGAGTGTGATACTTGTCACAAATTATTTGGATTTAAAGAAAAGCTCGCATCACACATTAAAGCAGTACATCTTCGTAAAAAACCATTCGAGTGCGACATTTGTAACAAATCATTTCGACGAAAACTAGACCATCAAAGTCACGTGAACGTAGTACATGACCATATCAAACCCTTTGAGTGTGACATTTGTCATAAATCATTTGGACAAAAAGGACACCTTAAATCTCACATAAACGCAGTACATAATCGGATCAAACCCTTCAAATGTGAAATTTGTCATGAATCATATGGTCGAAAAGGTTATCTCAAATATCACATAGCTGCAGTTCATAATAATAGTAAACCCTTCAAATGTGATATTTGTCAAAAAACTTTTTCATATCAGCAAAACTTAAAGGTACATATAAATTTAGTTCATATTGAAAACAAACCGTTCGAATGTGATATTTGTAAAAAATCATTTGGACTAAAAAAACGTCTCCAACGTCACGTGCACGCAGTACATGATCATAGCAAACAAATTGAATCTTCTTCAACACAATCAACAAAGTTCAGGAAATCAACAAAATCAACAAATTCATGAAGAACCTAGACCACCACCGCCGCAACCTCACTGGCTACAAAGTACGTACATTTATTTTAATGGCCGATATATTGATTGTTTTTTTATTATTTTTATTTTTATTGCGCGCGAAACTGTACTTTCACATCGTCCAGAGTGATCACGAGAGTCTCCTTGCCTGCACTATTACTTACATCGCTAAACTATCTGCCTCTTTATTTTCAGCTTCTGTTTCTGAAAGTGGTCCATCAATTAGGCCAAGTTACGTAAATGATTTCTCAGAATTAAGCCAACCTAAATCTCATCGACGAAGATATTAAAATTTAGGAAGCTCGAGAATTGTTCCGAAATTTTTGAGAAATTTGAAATAATGAAGATTTTTGTTATCCTGTGAGTGTGTTACGAAATAAATTTTGTCAAAGACATTCATAAATAGATTTCGATTTCGCGAATAAAAAAAAATAAAATATTTCAAATTGTTTAATGAATTTTTTTGTGATTTTTAAAAACCTTTCTAATCCATTATCCATTATCCCATTAACTAAAATGTACATATTTCCCAAGTACCTACTTACTCCTCATTGATATGTTAGAAAATTTTCTCCTTGAAACTAGAATTATATCAAGAGGTGCGGTAGCACCTTGCCGGCAAAGTATAAAAAAAAAATTATAAAAAAATAATTTAAAAAAAAATTTATTTAAAAAGAAAAAATTAGTTAGAATTTGAAAAAAAAATTTTGAAAAAAAAATTTTGATATTGAAAAAACAATTTTCAAAAAAAGTTTGCGCAAAAAATTATTTATTTATACAAAAATTTATTTTATGTGTTAATTCATTGAAATTAGCCTTAATTAGCCGAGAAATGTCGGCTTGGAGCAGCGCACCTATATATACACCGAAAACGCCAAATCAAAAAAAGCTACTTCGAGATGGGGTACTTCCCGTACTCAGAGAGGTACAAGATAGGTATCATTCGATAGGGGATCCAAAATCATGAACCCATGCAAATTTTTGGATGATTTGGTGCATTGGTTCAAAAAATTGGACCATCCAAAGTTTTTTTACCGTCAAATCACGTTTTTTCTAAATTTTTAATCCAACATGTTGTGATGTTGATAGTTAGAATATGTACATATAGAGTGCTTTCATACACACGAAAAAACGAATCTTATTTATTCCTTCATTATTACTATAGTATTGCAAATTATTTTTCATGTACAATATATCTGTGGTGGAAAGGCATAACGACTTAAGTCCATTTTTCGTAATTTCGAGAAAAACGCGTTTTAAGTTGATTGTGCCAGCCTAACTAGACGCGGACGAGTTGAGGTCTGAACCTATGATGTTTTAAGCTACTATGAGGTAGCTTTTGAACTATGTACTTATGAAATTGAAAGGCGCATCATAGCGATGATAGGGAGCAAAAAATATGGACTTAAGTCGTTTTGCCTTTCCACGGTTTGCACTTAAGTCCACTTTTGGCGGTCACACTTTTTTCAATATCGTTAATTTCGCGCAGTTTGTTCGCACAACCTCATTTAATGATATTACATCGATAAGATAGCTCATTTAACGTTATACTGCCGTCAGATCTCAAATCTTGCAACGAAAAAAGGCCAAACTGAAAATCGAGAAAATTGCCCCTCGCGTATCAAATGTAACAATCATATAGTTTAATTCACAACATTCGAAGAGTGTGGAGCTATGTTTAACATTCTAATATCATTTTCTTTCATTTTCAAATAAAATTAGACTCTCTATAGCATTTTGAAATTCGCAAGGGTGGACTTAAGTCGTTTTGCCTTTCCCCAGTCTTCGCGAAATGGACTTGAGTCGTTATGCACGATGCTGCAACTAACGCTAGACGCTATATTCGTCTATTCTGACCCTTGGACATTAAAATAGACACTAAATATAGACGTTTTTCATCATAAAATCGATCTTCAAAAAAATGGCTTTCTTTTATGCAAATACCCTATTGGTGCACTGCCGCGTGTGGCGCTAGTTGTAGTCGTCGAGTTTCTGACAACGCTGCTCAAAGTTCAAACCAACGCTGCCGCAGACGCCATTAGTCATTCGGTACTCGTAACTCGGCTGTGGTAGCGTTCCCAGCTAACAAAGTGTTGGCATAATGACGGCACGATGTCAGCACGGTCTCATTTCATGCTAGCATTTTGACGTCCTACTGCCGCCGCATATTGGCGTCACAAATTTGACATGGCGTACTGCGGCACGCCGTGCTGACAATGTGCCGGGAAAGTGCCATTTTCTAACTGTCGCCCAAAAAATCTGGCTGCACGCCGTGACGGCAAAATGCACGCAGCGTGCCGAAGACGACACGTTGACAGCATTGTGACTGCTTGTCGTGACAGCACTCCGTGCCAGATCGTGCTCTAATATAATTTCCACGCAATGTTTATTGGGAATGGACTGCAACAGCGGCATGGTCAAGGAAGCAGTGGTCAGTGAAAGCGATTTAATCAGGTATTGTTGATAATTTATTTTTTCTATTCAAAGTTCTTAAGTATAAATCCCTTATTCCATTAATTTATTGTTTAAGATGTCTGAAAAGTCTAAGGATATTGTGCTAGTGGCAGCTGACACGTGCGAAGAAATGAACGATCTAGGTGACTCTACCACAACTAGAACTGATGAACCAAATTTATCCCAAGATTCAGTCGTAAGTTGAATTTTAATTATCAATCCAATAAAACTGACTGGGAAATGGTATGAGGTGCGACACTTCACAAACGATGCGTTTCATGATAAACTCTACATACTGATGTATGACTGACATGTTCATTGGATGATTAGTCTGCTGAACTTTTATGATATTTCATATTATTTTACATCATTGATCTTGTTTCAGTCTCCAACCCATTTCCCAGCTATTTTTTTTTGGACTATGCTGTTTAATTTTAATACTTTATGAAACTAAACCAACAAAAAATTTCAATTCCAGGCAAATCTTCACAAGTTGGCGATTGTTTTTATTGAAGAAAAAAGTCCAACAATATTGACCAAGACAGGATCATTCACATGTGAAATTTGTCATCAATCATTTTTACGCAGGGCAAATCTGAATGTACACATCAAGTCTAAACACGGTTCTAGTGAACCATTTCATTGTAACGATTGTTCCAAATCATTCGCAAGAAAAAGTTACCTTATCTCTCATATACAAGTAGTACATAATCCTATCAAGCCATTTGAGTGTAAAATTTGTCAAAAATCATTTGGTCTTAGAAACATTTTAATGAAACACATGACAGTGCATGAAGATATAAGACCATTCAAATGTGGAACTTGTCAAAAAGAATTTAAACGAGAAGGTTGCCTCAAAAACCACATAATCGAAGTACACCAAAGTAGCAAGGACGATCGTCATGCATGTAATTTCGAAAATTGTACCAGCTCATTTTCACGGAAAAGTGGCCTCACTAAACACATAAACTCAGTACATAGTGAAAGTAAACCTTTTGCATGTAATGAATGTGACAAATCATTTCATCGCAAGGATGCTCTCAAAGTTCACAAAGCAGTACACAAGGACGAGGAAATTTGTGAAATTTGTGATAAATCATATTCATCTAAGAGTGCTTTTAAAAAACATATGAGTAAAAAACATGATCAAAGCCGACAAAGTGAGAAATATCACAAGTCATTTGGAAAAAAAAGTGAGCTAAAATCGAATGTAAAATTAGTGCATAATGAGATAAAAACCTTCATATGTGATTTATGTGAAAAATCATATTCATCTAAGAATGCGATTAAGAAACATATAAGTAAAAAACATGATGAGAGCAAATGTGTCTAGTGTGATGTTTGTCATGAATTCCATAAAGCTAGGAGCTATAAATCAATGAAGTGCAGAATTCTCTTCCAACGTCACATGTCATTGGAACATAATAATAAAAATCCCATGGACCCTAAGCATTGTCGTGGTATGTAAATGTGTCCTTTTTAACATAAATATTTTATTTTAATTTCGTAAAAAAATGTTAGCTTTTCATAATTTTATCTGTATACATTTTGATTATTTATATCAAAAAATTTTATATTCGTCATTTTTGTTACCACTGTAAAATGTGCGTTAATTGCGAATAAATGTATTAAAAACACGTCTTGGATGTAGTTTATTCAAATATTTTAAATTTTTTGTAAACCTTTTCCAAAATCCCAAACTCTTGATGCACTCTGAAAAATTCCAAAATTTTCCAAATATTTCAAATGTGTGATGATTTTTCGTATCCTAATGCATTTATTTTAATAAGTGATGCTGCAAAGACAAAAATACACATCTGTGATTTGTGTGGTAAGTCCTGTGCACTAATGAGAAGTTTGAAATTATGTATTGATTCAATACACAATCGTATTCACATTTGAGCATGATTTTCATCCTCTGGAACACAAAAGTAGCGATAAGCGAAGTACCAATGATTTTGGGATCTCGATGAACAATTATCAACTTCCACTAAGCGCGTTCAACGAAAAAAATTATACGATAGGTAATATAAATTACCGGGTGCTGCCGTCGCTGATGATTGAAAAGGAAAGTTCCAGCATATAATCCATTTCCAATAGAGTTAGCGAATGAGCAAGAGATATTTTGCAAGAAATAAATGCACGCGTTGCTCTTTAAAACGGGCCGCTAAATCGATCGCAGTTTCGCGAATACCATAATATAATGTAGCTGCGGTAGCAGCGACGCGGGGCAGCCTAATAAGGAATAACGACGCCTCGTGTATCTGTCATCATATTTGCTTTGTCAGTTGCAGTTTAGTTTAGTAAGTTTTTATTGGCATCATAGTTGATATACATTTCTTATTTATACGCTAATCTCTTCAACTGATTCTCGTATAAACAGAAAATTTCTCGTATTAACAGCATCAATTACCGATGAAAAAGCTCTGTAAAATAGTAGTGTTGATTCAGTCCATTCGATGGAAATCATCATATATTTATATCCAGTTATGGAAAAGTATGATTCGCAATCATCGCTTGATTCCGATCAACTATGGTATAGGCAAGTATAACTTTATACGATTTTAATTGTACATATTGGTACATAGCATCGAGTGGTGTAGCGTTCATCGCGAGATGCATGTCTTACCTGATTTAGATGAACATCAATACACGAACATCCGAATATATTTCCAACTTAAAATATTTGTAAAATTGAGGAGAGAAAGTAATCGGGGTAAAAATTCAGGAAAGCAATTCCACGTTGTTTTTCGTCTCACTGCAATCGACGTGTATTTTCACTTTGGACGATACGACAACTCAATTTGCACACGGCTACTGGATATCTCGCAAAAATTGTTAATCGCCGCAGCTCTCACGGGGCTGTAGGATATCTAGTGCAGGATAACAACATTAAGCTGCACCCTATTAGCGCCTAAGGATTTATTCAATTTTCCCTGCCTACGTATCTGGGTCAATTTAACGTTAGACCTTACACACATATATATAATATATATATATAGAGAGAGAAAGATACACGTAATACACACGTATGCAGTATATATAACGCCTATTTCACGCAAAAGGCGTTATACGTCAAAGACGATGCATCGGTATCTCACTCTCTATATTATGTGCGCGCGTATAGACGCGCGCAACATGATTAAATAGAAATTGCGGGCTATACATGGGTCGCGCACGTATATAGCCGAGGCAAAGAAAATAGCGAGCGAGGCGGGTTTGCATAAATAAATTTCCCGGTGACAAAAATATCCTGTGTAATAAGCCTAGAGCGAGCGAGCGAGCGAGCATCGACGATATCAAGGTCGTAAGTTCATCGTGCAGCTAGCTTGGCGCTTAGAAAGAAACGAAAAAAAAAAAACAAAGTAATGGTACGGCTCTTGGAGTACGTTCGGAGCTAACGGGGCTCTTTTGGTGTCGTTTATGAAATATAGCGCGTATAAGGTCAAGCTCGACGGATGAATATTTCGTTGATATAATACCCGAACTTATAGCACGCAGACATAAAAGGACCTTCGTGCTGTGTGTCAGCGGGTGTATAAACTCGCGGAATGGCACACACAGACGGACAGAGACATACACGCAAAGCCGAGCAAATAAAAGGAGTAAAAATAGTTCGTACAGTAAGTACACGAAGTAGCGCTCAAACTGCGCTATATAGCAATGGGGCGTGTTTGTGCATAGCCTGCATAGCGTTAGATATATCGCGTATGCACATTTTACCCATATATCGGTTACATCGACCTCGATACGCCACTATGACTACTTTGCAACTCTCGCGGCAAAAGACGACGCGCTCATCGGTGCACGTATTATTTTATACATCGTATAATAATACGTTAGACGTAACGCAGCCGATCGCTCCTGCATAATCTCCGACTGCGCTCAATATACACGACCGACGATCGCAATATAGTAGTGACACTTTAACGTTTTTACGTATATAACACGCGCGTATCGAGCTTACGACGGCGGCGGCGGCTACTTTGTGCTTTTATATGCAAGCGACTCGTACGTACAATCGAGGGAGAAAGAGAGAAAGAGAGAGTGAGAGAAAAAGCACGACGCGCTCGGTACACAGTGTGACACTGTGATATATAGGCCTGTCTGCCTCTGCACGTGCATTCAAAGAACTATCGGTTTACTCTATATTTGCTGAAACGAGGAAAATAGCTCGACGACTAGATAAATAAAGCACAGGGTTGTTGGGAGTTTGCGTAGGCGTTCGCGATGATCGGCTCTACGATTGATACAATATAAAACATGACGCGCTAAAGTGTGTACAAAGTCATATCGTCGACTACGATCCTGACACTCGAAAGGACGATTGCATAGGGAAAATTCAACACTTGATTCACGGCTATTTATTATGAAGTACTTATTATTTGTAAAGTTGTTTGTGCAAAGTTTAGACAAAGGTTATACATACTACTGAACAAACTTTTTTTAATGTTAGAATTTTTTTCATGTGCAGTTCATGATAATGCCTTATATCATTACAAAATTGATCTCTTGTACATTGGTTTCAATGGTTTATTATTTATTATGGCTTTTTTATGAAAACGCCTAAACCGTGATCAAGATATGACAATAATTTCTACCATGAATTTGCAAACAAATGAATAAAAAATATGCAATTATAGTGATGATATAATTTACAAAATCTTACTCATAGAGTGCAAAGGGTAAGATAAATTGCTGATGCTCCGATAACCTCGATGACTCGACGGCCAACTCCTATCGCGATGCGACTAACGATCACGAATCCAGTTTAATGATTGAGTGCACGATGACAACGAAAACATGACCATTATTGTTATTGTTTTTTACTTCATGAATGCATGAGTTTACATTGGTATATTACAAATCGAAATATTTTTACATTAGTACTCATTCATCAATAATTTAAATTGTACACAGCGCACCAGTTATTTTCTTATAATCTAAATTATTAGTAATTTCAATCAATCCAAATGATCAAAATGAAAAAATTTTATCTTTTTTTTAATAAACCTGAAATAAAATTAAAATCTAAATTTGTGGAATGGCCAATAAATAAATTCAAATTTTTACTTTTATTTATTTGATGATGAGGAAAATATGCAAAATTTAACAATATCAGACAGGAATAAATACTGAAAATATGCTTGTTGCAATCATGAGCTTCTTCGGCTTGCAGCCGCCAAGCATAAATGGTATAAATCTTTGTTCATTAGGTGCTCGATGATCGCTTCACAGCAAAGGATTGGTAAACGGTAGTGTATCAGCTCCAAGAAATAATGCAGTGTCCATCGCCGGAAAAATCCTCTCGATAATTTCTCGGATAGATTCAAAGCACAAGCCCGATTATGATAGTAAGGCAGCTCCCACAATTTGTTCATGCGCGCGAACTCCAAATATTCTTCATGAGTGACTAGTTTCACCGCCTCTTTGGGTCGTAACGAGATCAGGTCGTGGAGCGACAGACTCGAATTTATCATCATTTTTTTCGCTCTTTTTCTGAATTCATCGTGATTGGCCTGAGTCTCGTTAGGGACCTCAAATTCCTCCGAATTATCGAACAATTTAAACTTGTCGAAAAATTTCATCATCTCCAGGGCGTCGCCTCGATCCATTTCGTATCCTCTTTTTTTAAGACGCTCGATGACGCAAAAAGCGCTAGATGCTAGTTTCAGTTTAGGATGAAGCCAAATTCCATCCAACAGGGGTTGCAAGATCTCCAAGAATTGATTCTCCGAAGGAAAAACAAAGCTAGACAGGTCAGCGCCACGATCCAAGAGCACATCAACTGTTTTTGGTAAGAAATTAGCCACGGCCCATTGCAGCGGTGTCCGGCCGAGCTTGTCCTGGGCATCGACATTAACCGTCTGCTGGAGTTCGTCGTTGACTTTGAAGAATATCTCCGCCGCGTAATCATAGTGATGTGTCCGACACATCAGATGCAGTGGAGTCGTTCCGTTCTCGTTTGCCAAATTTGGATCGGCGCCTTTTCTCAGCAGCAATTCGGCCACCTTGAAGCGCCCGCCGCTCAGAGCAAAGTGTAACGGTGTGCAACCGAACTTGTCCCGGACATCGACCAGCAACGTCTGTTGGATATCGTCGCAGATATTAAATAATATCTCCACCAGGTTATCGTCGTCGTTGCATTTCTTGCATTCGATGTGCATAGGTGCATATCCTTTATTGTTCGTTAAATTAGGGTCTGCGCCATTTCTCAACAACAATTCAACTACTTTCTCATGTTTGTGCTCTAGAGCCAAGTACAGTGGCGAATCGCCCGTTTTTTGTACGGAACAATTGGGATTCTGGCCGAAGTCGAGGAATTTCTCGACGATGTCATGAAAACCATAGCGGCAGGCCACATGAAAGTGCGTGAATCCAAATTCATCGATGTAATTCAAGTCGAATCTTTCGTATATTTCAAACAGATCACGGACCGCAGCATGATTATCATTAACTAACCAGCTTCTAACCGCGAGATGCACCGATGTGGTGTAACGCAACAACGGCTGGCCGTCTTCATCAACTTTGGGCTCGTTCTTGTAGCCGCTGCGAACTACGAACCTGATGAATTCTTTTCCCGCGTCATCCCTGCAGTATTTACTTTGGTAATTTATAGAATCCGAGAGAAGACACTCGATTTCATCCTCTTGAAAAGTATTCCGTAGGTTAGGAACCTGACCATTCCAATGGCTGATCAAGGAATAAATTTGACTCAGAAATTCATGACGCTCTTGTTCCATTTCCCAATTGACATCTTCTCGTAGGCTCTTCAATTTATCTAAATTGGTGGACATTGTTTTACACACTCGCGCACAGAACAACACACAAACGCTTTCAAAAGTACTTCTTTATTTATATCACGAAAAGTTGTCGATGTGATCTTTCGTTCTTGACGCTTTGGCGTCGTAACGTGTACTAAACGGAATAAATTCAAGACAGCAGCGACAGTCATGTGTTGTTTAACCGAGCAACACACCCAAACACGTACATCGAGTAAGAGAGTGAGACGAAGATACACGACACTGCATAGACGTTTCGAGGCATGCCGACGAAGTGCTACTTGCTCGCGCTGTGCGTGCCGCTGTGGAGGGAGACGAGCTCACACTCGGGCAGCAGTCATTGTGCTCGTTTGTTTTTTTGCCACAGATATTCACCGCCCAGCGAAACATAGTAGAAGTCACACATCAAAATCAAGTACCATTACCATATCCAATATGATAATAACAAAAAGTCGTGCGGCTGTCTGACAACGTCGACGGCGGAAGCCATAGGACTATTCTCAATATCAAAACACAAATAAATCGCGACTTCGCTTCATTTCATAAAAATGGATAATGCATGAGATTGACGTGGAAATATTATTACGCTTATAATAGTACTCGAAGTAACGCAAGAATAGTCATTATTACGTAGAAATAATTGAAGATCTCAACCATTCAACTCAACGTTACATCTAATCGAAGAAAATTTTAGCTGTGAAATAAGCTCTCATCCACAGACCTTACAGACGGCCTTCATGTGTTATATACGCTCGTGGTCGAAAAAAATGATTATCTCGCCGACGGGAAATCTCTCGCACAGCTGACGACGTCGTCGGACGCACAAAAAAGTGGCCGGAGAGCCACGTCGGTTCGCCTCCGGCTGCGCGATATTGTATACGTAGTAGGCAATAATCATCGCCATAGCAACCCCTTTCAACGTCGTCAACGGCGCGGACGTCGCAGTCAGCGGTGGTGGTGGTGGTGGCGGTGCAGGGCTCGGGACGTGTGCCGGTGGCGCGCGGTCAGAACCCAAATCGCAGCTCCCGTATACTCTGCGTGCATATGCAGATAGGAGATGAGATATCATCGGCTTTTAGTGGCCACCAACCGAGCGCATATACAATACGATATTATATCGATAAGAGCTGATTGCGAATAAATTATGTAACGCGTATGTGTGCAGGGCGATTTTGTCGAGTTTTTGCTTCGGCGTAGGCGAGAAGCTGAAAACCATCGAGACGGCTAGAGGATAGTTCATCTAGGTCTTCGAAGCGACGACTCGAGAGTCTTGTAACTTTTCTCTCGGTTCGTAGCAGCGACGTTCAATTTAGCAGTCTAGAACGAATAAGCCTAACGAAGCTCTCTGTGCGTATCACGCGGCGCGCCCTAACTCAAGATTGTTTCGTGAATTATATTTCAGTTTACCCTCGCTCGTCGTCGTCGTCGTCGTCGTCCACCGCGCATAGATAAACGAAAACTCGTTTCGCTCTCGAGCGCTAGATTCTCGCAGAGTCAGCTTAATGTACACATTATAGATATGTATATAGACGGTGTAAATTCGCACATCTCGAACTTGGCAGCATCAGCAGCATCAGTGGCTCGAGTATTATAATAACAACATATAGTTATAACAAAGTCGAGACGATGCATTCGTTGCTTTCCATCCATCTTACTCTTTCTCGTAATAAGTAAAGCAGTACCTTGGTCGGATCAGCGAAGCGCATGATAACTCGGCGATCCACGCCACGAATTCGTTGGCTCGATTACCTTGAACTCTTCTCTCTCTCTCTCACTCTATTCCAAGTACTTTATACGAAGCTGTAGCGTGCACGAGCTACACCGATCCGCAAACGACGGAAAATCAACTTTGCTCTACATCTCGCGCGTTTCGTGCCCATGTGCACGACATTCTGCGCCTCGACGCATTACTTGTCTCTCTCTCTCTCAAACTCGCTCGGGGGATTCGTATAATAAACAAACGCATATTTCACGGCGAATTTCCCGTCTCGACCTGATTTATACGTCAATTTTCATTACTTCGATGGGCCGAATGTTGCACGGAGCTGCTTTAGATACATTTGTCTCGAGCGACTATTCAGTACTGCTGCATTGTTGCTACTGATCGGAGCAGAGTCATGCGTATTTTTTTTAAATTGTACCCAGCGAGTTGAGTAAAGCTGAGCTTTTTTACTTCTATGAGCAAAATTATTACGTTTCGTTCAAAAGTGACACATTCATCGGAATACGATATTCAAGAGAAATCAAATAGAGAATTTGCAGAGCTATGTCGCGCGAAAAACGAATCAAAATATAATCTGAGCGATAAACTTGGTAATTCGAAGCGAGCCAGTCGAGTAAAATGGAAACTCGAAGGAAGATTCGATTGAGTCTCGCGCTGAGCATCGTCGTGGCAGCTGCAATTCCCGCGGGCAACTGTTTGACTAATTCGCTGGTCGGAGTCATGTTCCCGACACCAGTCCCGAGCAGCAGCAACGGCAGCAGCAGCAGCAGCAGCAGCAATCATCAAACGACGGCGCCCAGTGCCGTTTCCGCCGCTGCCATACACCAAGTCGAATCCAAGAGGATGGAGCAATGGTCGCCCAGTCCACCCGATCTGTCGCATCACATGCAGCAGCAGCATCAGCCGCAGACGTCCTACGGTTTGCCGTCGTACTCGCAGCAACCAGTGCATAATTCACAGCCGTTCATGCCAGCCAATTATTACCTGCCTGTCAATGACGAGCCGACTATCGGTATGACATTGTAATAATCCCGTTGTGTAGATTGCGACCTTCCCTTATGACGTTTTTTCCCCCCGATTAAAAATAAAAAGGAAACAATTACGGGACAGCGGCTGCGACGGAATTCCGCAGCGATCACTACCCTTACCCGTTCGACCCGCCCACGGCCTACGCCTATCCGATCGCGGCCCAGCCTCAAGTGGACACTTCGCTGATACCGACGGCCAAGCACTTCGTCATAGTGAGCTTCATCGGTCTGCTGCTGCTGTTCGCCATCATACAGAACTCCATCGCGGCTGCCAAACGCAAGGACGCGCTCGTCGAGGTGCTGTCCAATAGGCGAAAACGCGAGCTCGACGAGGCCAACTATCAGCTTTTGGTAGGGTTCATCTACCGCTACTCTCTTTTATCTTTTTGTACCAGAATTTCGACGATTCCGTGTTCACTTCTTGATATATTACATGTGTGTTTCTATGCAGCAGCAGCAGCCAGCGGAAGCCGAATTAACGAGAAAGGAAGACTTACGAATACGCTGCGTGCAGAGAAATCTCTGCCTGGAAAATCGGAAACTCCGCGAGGATCTCGGCGTTTTTGGCAAAGTTCTTGCCAAGTATTTGACGTAAGCTTTTTTTCGCCCACCCACACACCCTCTCTCTTCTCTCTGCCCTCTTTTATTGAATTCCTTTTCCGGTTGCCCTGATTTTCAATTTTTTTCTCCTCCGCACGCACACAATGAACGAATAGGAGCAGTATACAAGAGCAAAAAAAAAAGGAAAACAAACTTTTTATCGCGAACAATAAAATCAAACGGAACTACGTGAAACTTCGCTACCGCGCGTGACTTTTCGCGATAGTATAACACACCCTCGTCGCGCGCTCGACTTTGCGAGCGTCAATTGAGGTTTGACCGACAAAAAAAAGTTTTCTACTCCTTGTTCCTCTCTCTCTCTCCTGCTTTCCACAGTGGCTTTTTCATAAACACACACCCTTAGTGTACACGCTCCGACTTTCGGGAAATTTTTTTTTTTTGCAGGAGAAGTGTGCAGGGCTCGCTGAGAGAGATTTCATCGGACTGGGATGATCTCGTTGAGGACGCTGCTTCGGCTGGACTGAAGGGCGACGATTGTTATCAGGTGTACGACAATTGCGAGGCGAATTCCAGTGATGTTGATAATAATAATAATAATTCTGCGACGAATGAAGACGAAACAAAAACTTGACATTTTTCTTTTTCTTTTCAACAGAAAACGAGCTTGAGAAAATTATAGAATAGTAATATTTTGTATTTTTATATTAGTATTTAAATTAAGTTGGGAGAATAAAATTTAAAAAAAGAATTCAACTCGAAAATAAAACAAAAGATCTGCTTACGTAGAAAGGTGGAAAGGTGAACGAAACAAGGCAATTTACTTTATGATTTCTTAAATTTTAATTACAATACGTTGTTTTGCATGTTGTAGTTGCTTGTTTTTTTTCTTTTTTTTTCTTTGTTATCGCTACAAACATCGACATTCAGCCTGAACTATTTAATTTTAGACAGCACGACACTGCTCTCTCTTTTTTCTTGCTTCTTACTTGGCTCTCTTCGATACTTAAATATTATATTTATACTTATTTTTCCGTATTATCACTCGCTTTTACACTATATCATTTTTTTTTCTCGCTCACTTCCCAAGCATATATCTTCGTCGTCATCGTAGTTATACAACACAATGCACGTACTCGTGCCGCTAGATTTTCTCGCATTCACTCGCATTTGTTCAATATATAATATTATACACGTTTAAACGAACTCTCACCTTGGAATCATGTTATTATTATAAAAAATATCAAATCACGAACAAAAGACGGGGAGGATTTTATTTTTAATTTTTATTTTACTTTATTTTTTTTTATATGTATACCGCGAACGTTACAGGTATTGTATCGGACACACACGCACGCATACTAGCATACATTTTATGTATATTGATCAAAAATCGTGTATGCACATTCGTAATTTTTTTCGTCTATAGCCTTCGACTCCCGCACAAAAAATCTCACAACTAATTACAAAAAAACTATATATATCATTATTATCGTTCATAACATTAAGGCATTACGTATATTCATATTTATATAATTTATTTATTTATTTATTCATATTTATATTGTTTTTTCCTCATTCAATCGTGCGTCGTCGGTTCTTTTTTGTGGGTTCATTATTATACAGCAGTGTAATGTTTTTTCCTCATCGTTCGCGAACGATGTTTCAATTATAATTTTACTCGTTACAAGTACGGCTTGTTTGCTTTTATTTATTTCGTTTATTTCAATTAAAATTTTTTTTTTCGTACGACTCGACGTTTTGAAAATAAAACAAACGCTGAGATCGCTTGTTGCAATAGTCCAGTCTTTTTCTTTCGTTCAATACAGTCAAATCAATTGTTGTCGACTTGTACATTATCTGAATCGTCGGATAATTAGTATTGATTGCTTTTATGTGTTTTTTCGAAGAATCTACAAAGCGATTAGCGACTCGCCTATTCATTTACACGTCGTAAAATTTTTGGCTAAGCTTTGAACGTCTAAATCTCTTTTCAAAATTGAAAAACCGGAAGATAACGAGAGTCGTTGAAAAAATATCGAGTCATTTGCATAAAAGTTAAAAATTACGAAAAAGACTCGAATAAAAGCAATGATTTGCTTCGTTAAAAAATCATTAAATATAGCAAACTACATATATTAGTAATCTTTTTGGGTGCCTATATCGAATCGATTAATTACTGCGCGTCAATTAAAAAACATTATTACAAGATATATATTTTTTTCCTCTCGTTCGCAATTGGACAAAGAAGCTTTTCTCATGGCAGATTTCGCGTTCAATTAATACATCGAATATTATGTTTTTTTTGTCTGTCTACAAAGATTGAAACGACGACGCGAAAATCATATGCATATAGCCGACCTCGTGGTGTCCTTATTTTCACTTCGATTAGATATCGATTACAAAATTATCGTTATTGATATATTTACAAGCTCCAGCTGAAACTGGCGTCCATCTTCCCATGCTTAGACTCCACTAGAGTCGCAGGATGAGTTTTTTTACTTTGCTTAATTATACTTTCAATTTGGAGAAAGAAACAAGCTCAATGGATTGCTATTTAAAGTGTTTTGTAGTGGGCTTTCCGAGTGCACGTAGGCTTGCATTTGACTTACTTTTTAATATTTATAATATATCGTAATGTACATAATTATAAGAATGGACCTGAGCACGTTGGATCCAGCCGCGAGTTTTTCCAACTCGCATAAGAGAATGGCACTGTTCAGTTCGACGAGTTGCTGACTTATTTTTCGTTAGTAATTTCACTCGTTCGGTAGACTTGATTTCATTGAAAGAATTGAAAGGTCGATTATTATTAGATTGAGTTTAAATTTGATATTAATTGACCGTACATAGTTGGCGTGATTGGTTTTTTTTTTCATTTCATTTTAGTACAAAAAAAGCAAATTTCAGATCAGATTTTCGCGTTAGTAAAGAGACAAAGAAAAGAGAGAAAGAGCAGGGATGTTAGGTACCTCACACATGTTCGTACAAAAAAGAAGATTCAACTTTGAGCATTATTATGTAGAACATATAAAAAACACTTGTTTTATTTTCTTATGCGTTTATTGTAATAACTTAATCATCACTATTGATAATTATTCGCTCTTATTGTTTATACTCGTAATCACTTATCAATGCGTTAAAAATTAATTAATAAAATAAACTTATATAAATCGTAAGGAAAAGATTTATATCACACGCTGATGCTCTAATCTTTCTCTCGTGTTATCTTTGTCGATTATTCACATCATTGTAACACTTAAATAAGTTAAAACTCTTTTTGAATATTTATATGTTGCATACACGAACTTGGTTTAATCAGCAAACTTCATTTTCCTACCATTTAGGATAGGTATACAATTTTTCTATTACAATCTTTGCTATGAGTAAAAACAATTTTTTTATTTTTAATAAAGATATGCTACGCTTTTTACACATACACGCATTGTTGTTCCGTGTCCGAACGCGAAAAATCATCGTTATTACAATACAATTTCTTTTAAAAAATTCTGGGTTAAATTCAATTTTCGATAGCTGTATAAAATGAATCCATGTATTGTTTTACATGGATTAACACGAGATAATATCGCTTAAGTAATTAAACTATCAAGTGTTATAATAATATTAATATTATCAATAATAGTATGTACAATGTTTTTTTCCCTAAATACTATATTTGTTCTGTCCAGTATGTTCGAGACGATTGTTCGTCTCTGAGGAGGATCTTATAAAATATTATTTCGCTGCAACGCAATCCTAGATTTTTTTTCGCACGTACGTTCTATTTTTGCTGTTCTTTAGTACTTTATTCGCGTATAACAAATTAATTGTCAACGTAGCATACACATATTTTATCTAATTTCGCTTTAATTATGATACTCGTGTGTACATAATTTCTTTGACATAGTTTTTTTTATAAGTTTACAAAGTCTTGCTCGAACTCGTTTACGGACTTAAGAATAGCTTTTCATTCTTATTAGATGAGCTCGAGTTTGATTGTGCTTTCATTTTAATTGATATAATTTATATAATATACGACAAATTATGAATGGTCAACTTTGAAGTCAATAACTTTAAAAATGGAGTCAGGTAATGTAAACATACATTGCTATTGTAATGTAAAATCGACCATGCAAAACATCATTATTTATTGATATGAACAAAAAATGAGATCTACGACTTAGATAGAAGTATTATTCAATCTAATGCACAAGGTTCAATTTAAATATTAAAAATCACATTAAATCTATCGGTTGTATGACAAGAAAAAAAATTGAACCAAATAATTTGGAAGACGCGTCGGGTCACGAGATTTCAGTCTCGAAAAGTCAATTACAAACATGTGCGTCGAACAGCTGTATAGGAAGTTAATACTTATGAACATTGATCGTTTTGAAAAAAAAAAGGAATGTGAAACATAATGACAGATAACGTCAGTCATCAAGTTTTCAGTTATCGATTTCCGAAAATTTTTTCTCAAAGTAAAACGTACGATGTTGACGGAAAAATAATCTTTCGGGCAGAGTCAAAAAATTTAAACAATAAAAGTACACGAAACTAAACTGCTTACGTAGAAGCAGTCAAGGACAAATAATAACAAAAATTATGCGTTACGACAGTGAAGACAGCGTCGTAACGTATTTATATTTACATTTTGCGAAAGTTCGCTTCACATTTCCATAATTGTAGTTTTTTTGTTCGAGTAAACTCAAGAATAGAAATATTAACTAGACAGACCAATATCAACCAGTCATAAAATGTCATGCTTCTATAATAAAAGTTGCATGCTTGATACAAATATCATAACATCTATTATCATCGCTTAATCATCAATAGTCATGCAAGTTTTTTTCCTAGTTTTGCTTTCATAGCTTATTAATATTTCCGATTATACATCTTAAATATTAAATCGAATTTTCTCTATGAACACCTAATTCGCTTATTCAAGCATTATTTCAAATGTTCGTGTATGTTCTTATGCTAATAATTTTTAAATTTATATAACAAATTAATTTTATCAACCTTTCCTTATATAACAAAGAATAAGCGATGATAATTTTCACGTAAGACAATGAAAACGACGAGCTTTAAATCACGAGTTCACAGTGTACTACGCGTCCTCAAGCAAATAAGAGAAAACAAAAGTAAAGCATGACAAATAGACAATTTCTTACGATATCCAACATTTTGCTTGAAATTTGCTTCAACTAGGAATTGATATTGCCACTTATTTGGGAACAAATGATAGTAAAATTATCTGAACCAACCGCGTGAGGCTTTTATGAAATGACTTCATGACGTCTCGCATACACACAGATTTTCCTTTTTCTTTATACATAAATGAACGTCGAACAACTAATACAACAGAAATTCTTAAAATAATCTGTTACTTTTGTTAAATTCGACTTTTCCGTAAAACTATTAATAAACCATTCGTAATGCTGGACTAGAGCACAAGCCCTGAATTTATAGTTGAAAGAGAAAATTAATCGCCAACTTGTTTGGTTCTTAGGCTCAACTAGCTCTAATATGTTACTGGCCAACCATCGAGAACCTTTCAAATATAACGAATTCTCACGACGCCGCTGCGTGTCTCAATTATTTTTATAGTCATTATTTCGTTAGACTCATGAACACCGTAACACAAAAAAGTAAGAAATAAACCACTCGAGCAATCATTGCACACTGCAAATACTTCACATTCAAAGTGAGTACGAAAAATTACGAAACCATATTTCGAGTAAAATCTATCTACAATCAAAGTATTTAAAATCGTTCGCAAAAATAGACGCACCACTTGTTATTTTGCTTCAGCTTAAAGCGCTGCCATTAAAGCGACATTTCTTCCATTATTTTTTGTACTTGGTAATTCACTTTTTTCTTCCTTCAACATGAGAAACACGCAGGTATTGGTGGATTATGCTCATTAGCATACGGTAGGTTCGACAGGTCTTCTGTGCGTTGTAGATTACATCGATTTCGCAATTGCAATGAAGTCTTAGTAGTACTGATCCTAGTTGCGCAGACATTTCAGAAAACACTAGTTAGTGGTTACCTCCTATCTCTATATAGAAGATAAGTTCTCATAGCCAGTGGCAAATGCAACACTGAAACTTTCTCTTCTAAACGCTCCTTTCCTATATTCTGTCTTATGACTCTTCTGCACAGGTCCATCAGTGGCAATGGTTCAGCTGCAATAAAAAAAGAGAATGAAATTCCATTCACCGAAACATGATTTCATGAATTCTCATAAAAGTTTGAGTAACTTACGATCAAGGCCACCAAGATATTTCATTGTAATTTCACAATGGCCCCATACTGCTGACACAATTGGATAAAGTTTCTTTCCTTTTAATCCCCTAAAAGCTACTCCTAGATACTGGCCTTCAACGACAAATGATAATGTGCCTTCATCCATGTCCAAAACCACTGTAAAAGTAGAAAACAAGTTAGTTTATTGATCATTGGCAGTTGTTGGCAATATTATTGTGACAGGCACTCGTCATACCGAGAAATTTGTCAGGAACGATGAAGCTCTCCTCTGGTTTAAGGAGAGCGGGGTACGTAACTCCATTTGCGTTTTTCGAGTCGTGATACAGTCTATTTCGACCAAGGTCCCAGCCCCAGCTGAGCTCGTTGTTGCCTACGAGGCTCTGATAACCCACGCTGTGAAGTGGCGCGTCACCTGTCGCGACGCCGACGACCGCGTGTGTACCTCGCTGCCGCGTGCTCCAATGAAGCTCCCACACGTGCAAACCTTTCGTATATCCTACCTTTCCTCTGATACAATCGGTACTTTGCGCCACTGGGTGTCGGTGAAATGTGAGCTTATCGTCTTCCTGCAAAATCATCATCGATCCATTAGCAATCACGAATCACTCAAAAACTAAGTCAATTTTTTTGGAGCCTATCTTCGACCCAAATTACCTTGACAAATATATTGAGACTGCGATCATCCGCGTTCCAACTGTGCTGCACTTGAATCTCCCTGGAGGCCGGTGGCATGTCCAGTAGAACATCTAGCCTCGCTGGCCGCGAAAAGTCCTGGGCCAGCTCGCGTGGTACTACCGATTTGTAGGCCGCTGCTCCACTGCCAACGACGTTTCCACCGCCTGTGCCAGCACCATTTTCCCGCGTCACGTTTTTCACGCCACCTAAAACAATGACGATTGATTTATTAGTATACTTGTCTATAAAAATACCTTAAATATATTTTTATACCGGAAGGTAAAAAATCCGATTCAAAATCCCTTTCAAAATCCCATTCAGAATCCCATTCAAAATCCGATTCAAAATCCGATGGCATGTCTCGGGAGGAACGGCGTTTACCCTTTTGTATCCCTTTCATTAAAAAGATTTTATACGTATAACGGTTTCAAGGAAATTTTAAAATTTATGAAAAAGTTATAGACACTTTTTAGAAGATTGAAGTTTTCAACTATTGGTACATTTGGTTGACTATGTCAGAAGTGTAACTGGATAAATGAAAAGTATCACTTCTGTGTTATCAAATGAAAAGAGGAAATGATTAGATAAGAATACAATTGCACGAATGAAGCAATGAGATTAGTATTACACTTGAATGAGATACGAGACTTAAGTACTGATACTTAAAGTATATAGTTCACATGCATTTTTGGGTTTGCAAAACTTCCCAAGATTGCAGATGTCGAATGTCCAACGAAGGGATGATTCGTTTACCAAAGAAATTCGCAACAACATAGACAATTACCAGAACAAAGAGCGAGCAATTTAACGAAATTATGCATATGGACTGGAAACTATGGAATAATTGACTGTTGAGATATCGTCTTCGCAACCATATGTTTAGGATCGTCGCTTAAAAAAATCTTTTCTTTTCTACACCAAGGAAAAAACCAAAAAGTAAGATTAACGACGAGAATTTCGTTAATTCGCGGAAAAAAGTTACACTCGCGATTTGCTGTCACGCGAATAAATCAGAGCCGCTGTCTGCGAATCGCGATCGCCTCTCTGACCTTTTTAAACGCGCTTGTATCAAAAGTGGCACACGCACGTGGGTCTAAAACGGTCGGACGACTACTGTTCGGAACGCGTATAGAGAGAACGATTGAAAAATCATGCGTGTGATTTCTTATTTATGCAACAGTGTGTGCAGCTGAAACGGCGTTACCCGAATTGGAGAAAGAACATGAGTAAGGCCCGGATACGTTACGTAGTCGATGAGTAGACAAGTTAGAAATCTACGTGGATCTTCTCTCGGCAGTGTGTAAGAAGAGAAAGAAAAATACGTTAGAAATTAAAGTGATTTAAGAGTAACCGAAATTGGGGTCCGGAACGCACTGCAGGCCCGACGGTTAATATTGAAAAGTCCCAAAAGTGAATGTGCAACTCTGGCTAAGTTTTTGACGCCGGCCGGCAACGTCTACTGCTGGTCGATGAATTACGACTACGAGTCGCCATCTTCCGGCGATATTACGAGTTCCCCATAGAGCTACTATATATAGTGACTTTCTACATTCGACTACCGCACGCATACTTAAATACGTGTACGTACATTCGTGTATACGTGAAAAAGCGAAGGATCAACGCTCGCGAGCTACCGCACACATTCATTAATAATAATACTTCACTCACAGTCGCGCAATACGAACGTGGCAGATACACATCGTACACACAGAGACTATGACTTCTGATACTGCTGGGCGGTGCGTCGACAAGAGATCATCTTGTGTTTTGATTACACTGTCGGTTTTCTCACGCGAATGCGTAACATATGCGAGACTGTAATATCAAGGGAGGTCGTTGTCGTGCATAGTTACACGTTTTTGAGTAATAAATATCGGTCTTTCATACTATCGCCTCGGCGATATTATAAGAATATAATAATACAACAACAGAACAGCCGAACGAAGATAACAAAAAACTGTCACTGTGTTCGCGCGGGTCATTGCGGTCGATTGTCACTGTCCCGTTGCCTTCTAATACGATATTATGGTGATGATGAGGATACCTGTGAGTCTACCCGAACTTCGGAGCGGGGGTCTTCTTCTGTAGGGAAGCGCACACTGTCTCTTGGGGTTGTTCGCGGACGGAGAGGGCTCTGCCGTGGATGACTTCTTTCTTTTGTTACCCATATCTGTTTTGCACCGAGCGATATTTTTTCCCGTCTCTTCGCCTCTCTTTTCTTTTCTATTATATTTGTTCGCCGCCAGGATGAACGCAATAGTCGCAGACCCTGCTGTTTCGTGTGTATGTATCAACTCCCTTTGTTTGGTTGTACCGTCGATCGAGACGCGAACCCGCTGTCTTTGTTGCTGCTTGATCGCTGCAGCGCTTCTTCCGTTTCACCGTGTCGTCCCTGAGTCACTGCTAGCGTCAAAATTTGCCAATAGCTACCAGCTTGGACAATCATTAGCCCGACGAGGACGATTTATTTTTTGGGTATTAACGACGAAACGAGTCTCCGTCGAGAGGACCGATATCCTACTTGTATAGCACACAGCTGCTTTTATGTACAAATAACGTATTGATCTACGTTCACGCAAACACAGCTTGAAGCTTACACTAGAGAGGACTTAACATCCATGACAACACAATGAAACTTGTAATAAATGTAAATCACTCACACTCGCGCACGAATCACGATTACGCACGTTTAACGAACGGTCAATCTTGCGACTCTTATATGGTAATGACTTAAAAAATGATGACTAGTTTAGCTCGGCCTTATATATTTATTGAATACGCACCACACATACTTTAGCGAGCACAGAACTGAGGTCGCGAGCGCTGCTCTGCTAGGAGTAATACGGGGCCGCGTGCGAAAAGTTCGACTGTCGCTGACCGACTGACGCAGCGATCGCGGATCAAATTTGAAAAAGAGAGAGGTTTTTGGTTGGCGCCCGACGCGCGACGTTCGAGCCTCGACTCGACGAACTCTACACGACGTGAGTAAGAGTAGTGCCATTGGGTGGGGAAAGAGAAAGAGAGAGGAGAGCCCCGATGTCAGGCAACTCATTCATCGGCGGTGCGCTATAATAAGCGTAAGTAGGCACAACGATTTTACTCACGCTACACGTAATATATAACGTCTCACACGCACATGTGAGTGTAATACAGCTGTAACGCGCGCTACCCCGCGCTTGGGTAATAATAACTTCTGTATACTTGAACTTTCGGTAAACTGCCGCCCGAGAACTCAAGTTGAAATGGAGCATCCATCGTGTGGTGTTGTATATGGGCGTGCGCGGCGCATCAGAAGCTTTTCGAGGTATAGCTGCTGTTTCGTTCCGAGTATATATATGTAGATAAGATGCATCGCGGGCGCGCGCGCGCGGATGCGAACGAGGAAGCCCGTCGTGAAAGTCGAGCTAAAGAAAATCTTGACGAAATATTTGTGTAAGCAAGCGGACGCGGGGGAGCAATAAACGCGCGAAGAAAGATGAACGGAAAAAAAGTGAGCCCAAGTTATAACCTCGAAATTGTCTCGACTCGGCTTCTTCGCGGGTGCGCTCGCAGCTCTCGAGGCTAATTTAGAAAGGACTTGCGGTACCCACATTATAGGTGTAAGAGCGATCGGGCCCGTACCATTTCATTTTTCGACATCTCTTTCTCTTCGGCGCGCTCTTTTTTATAAAGCAAGTTTTCAAGGTAGAGCGCGAGATCTAGGAAATCCTTTGAATGTGTTTACACATAGATACACGCACACACGCGCGTATGACGCCTCTCGCAGTTTGCTAACTATCTCGATTAGTGCGCGCTAGCTTTATTACAGCGGCAACTCGTTTCATTTTTCAATTAAAATGTAATAACCCATTGGAGTATAGACCTTTGTTATAGGCTCGTATTCGGAAGCTCATTAGTGCAACGTTATTAATTGATGTTAGTTTTTTCCGGTCATTGTTGCACCTCTACATGAGATACTCATCTCCTGTCCGAGAATTTTATCTCATTTCGAAGATGTTTCGTGTGTAATCTAAAAGTGAAAATCCGGTAGATTCTTTTTACTTTTCGTAGAACCCATCGTACATTTAAATTAATGTTTGCCTTGCTGATAAGTCAACGCACCCATGGCTACTTGCGTTTATGATGTAGTGCAGGCGTACTCAATACGAAAGGTATAACAGGTTGTTACGGTTACATCCAGAAACGAACGCCGCGAAAGGTACTTGTACGAGTTCCGTCGAAATCCTTATCCTTGAAATCCGATGTGCTAACGTATCCCCGAGAGCGAATTATACCGAGCACACGTATGGAAGATTATATACTTTTTTCGTTTATTTTTTTTTTCATTTTGTTGAAACGCGAAGAGCGATTAGCCATCTCCGAAAACGGTCAACAACCAACAATTTATAATTGCGCCACTATCAGGTTTCGAGGGGGCAAAAAACACGAGCTAAGCGAGTGAAGTAAGTGCCCGTAACTTCGCATTTTATGAAGTTTCAAGTTCGTCTTTGTGCCAGTTTATTCGAATTTTTACAGCATCATATGATCGTTATACGAGCTCATTTATTTTAAGTTATTTTTTTTTTCGAGGTTGTGGAATGTTTTTCATCGCAGATAGTGTCAAAACATTCATTACCGAGAATTGATAGTATGACGTTTTTTTTTAAAAAAAAGTCAGAATTGATTCACCCTCGATTCGTTATTTATGAACAAACAATATTGAATGAATGATCAGAAATCAGTGGTATATTTTTGAAACGTGCAGGAATGTATATGTTTTCTAATAGATACCCGAATGAAACTTGCATCACATGATGTGTATGTTATTACTACACATCGAACATTTGAATGACGATTGTGAAAAAATAATTAAGTATCTCAAATCCAAACAAAGTACATAATCTCGATGAGAGAAAGGTGTATATGATGATAGTGCGGTCATTGTTAAACCTGTTTTTCTCATCTCTCTTTCTTTTCTTTGTTATCAGGGATTTCGTAGAGCCTGTAGACGTGGGCCGGTGCGTAAACACCTTTCACCAGTTTAAAATAGTCCGATGGACAAGTATACATCCCAAATAAGGCTGGAACATCTGATGCACCAATTTACGGATGCCAGATCGTTAAATAAGAAGAAGAAGAAGAAAACGAGAGAAGGTACGATTTTTAATTGCAATAATCTTGCGCTCTGCCACAACATAACAAGCCGTGACTTGAAGTTGAGCAATTTTGTACGTTTGAATCATTCGGTTGCCAATGGACCTGTGTAAATGTGTGTTGCAATTCCAACAGTTGTTCAATCGCTTTTCCTCCCGCACAGCTGTCGAAAAACAAAACTTTTTCTGTTTGGATTTTTCAAAATTCTTTTTTTCGTAACTTCGAAGTCAAAATACAGTTTCACTGTTTGGGTAAATAATATTGCTGGGTAATCTAATTAGTCGAAACTTTCTAAATCGAAAGATTATGAAATTTTGCAAGTGCTTGGTAAGTTTAAGGTTCAATGACCTATAATCTGGTTAGAAAAAGTATATTATACTGGACTGCGGAGCAAGAACACAGTAGAGTTTTGAAAAAGCTTGCCAAACGATAACATATCTCGGTCGTTTTTTTAATCGTAGATTTATAAAAGCTATTGTTACTTCATCTGGTCGGCCATTGCTTCAACATTTGGATACAATTTCAACTATCACGATCCAAGACCAGCAATTCTAATCTGAAATTTTATTAAGTCAATTGCTATATCCTACGGAAATTCAAATACTTCAAGAATCAATGTATAGGATCACTTTAACTGCGCTTGACAGATTGGAGATTAAAGTCTTCTGCTTGAGGCATGCTTTTTCATGAGCACATGCATACTTGTGATAAAAATAGAAGAAAGTTTAGTTTTCTTGGAGTCGAGCAATGAGGAAATGTGTCATTGATCCGAGCTCAAAGCGACTGGATTACATTCGTGAAATAGATAATCCGGATAGGCGCCTGCTGTACAGTTCTGACAGATCAGTGAGCAGATAATGAAGTTTCGCGCATGCGCAATGAACGAACTGCGCAAGTTCGAAGTGTACCGCGACTTCGATCATTATTTCAAAATATTACCGTCATCGAGTAATTCAGAATCGAAGATCGATTTGTAGATAAAAGAAGAAATCCCATGGTAAGAAAAACTTTAAAAGCCCAACGTAAAGATTTCACTAATGACACCAAGTAGATAAGGCGGCATTATTATCAATGATTAATTTGATCGATGCAATAATTGGTGATCTTGAAATCGTAATCGGCCGATAGGTGCGTATGAAAGAGGCATTGTTATATAGGAGCTCGGGTGTGAAACAAAGAAGAAGGTGACTCACCTGACACTTTTTGGCCCATGTTCATGCCCCGGTGGGGACGAGAGTGATGCGACCGCGTCGACGGATGATAATGCCGATGCTCGGAGCACTGCTTGAGGATTGGATTCTTCCGCAGATGCCTGACTACGACCGTGTGGTTGAGGGTCCCCGTGTCCGGGTGTATGTTGGTTTGGATGTGCAGGTGATTGGTCAGATTATGAAGATTGTGGGGCGCGCCGGGCTCGAAAGTGATGGTCGGCAGTGCAGCCGCCGCCGCAGCGATGGCAGCCAGACCTCGGGGGTGCGACTGCTGTTGCTGCTGCTGCTGCTGCTGCTGAAGCTCCGACTGTTGCTGCTGCTGCTGTCGACTGGTGGAGAGCGCACAGGCGCCTGAGCCGATCAACTCGTCGCCGTTGCAATCGACGTTGGACGCGGCCGAGCCGGGAGTCGTCTGAGACGAGCTGCGCGGACTGCTGCCGCTGCCGTTGTTCTGTTGATTCTGCTGGTGGTGATGATGGTGTTGATGGCTGTTGTTGTGGTGGTGGTGGTGGTGGTGATGATGGTGGTGGTGGTTGTTGGAGGTCGCGCCGTTGAGCGTCGAGCCCTGGGCCTGATGCTGCTGCTGCGTGCCCTCCTGCTGTGACTGCTGGAGCAGTTGCTGCTGTTGCTGCTGCAGATTGTTGCAAGCCGCAGAGCCGCCGTTCTGGCAGCCACCGGTGGACGTGCCTCTGCCGCTAGCACCCCCAGCGCCTCCGGACGACGCGATGCCCGCACCCAGGCCTTGGCTGCCCGCGACCACCGCCGCAGCACCGTTGCTGTTGTTGATGTTGCTGTTGTTGGCACCGCTGCCGCCGCCGCCGCCGCTGCTTCGATTGCCGTTGCCGCGAGCTCGGAGCAGTCTGGTCGCGGAACCGATCTGGCCGTTGCTGGAGCCCAGGCTCTGGCGGGCCTCGACTCCTCCAGCTCCGCCGCGTCCGCCCCCGCTGCCAGGACCACCGCCGCCGCCGCCGCCGACGACTCCAGCACCGACGCCGTTGTTAACGCTGCTGCCCGTTCGGCTCTCGTTGTTCTCGCCGCTGACTCCGTTCGCGCACTGTAGACTGCTCAAGTATCTGCAAATAAGAAAATGGCAATGGCTTAGTTACGTCATTGTTGTACTCGGGCCAAGAGTTACACATATTTATATATACGACTTTACCCACATGCAGATGTTTTTTTGTTTTTTTTTGACAATGCTATTGTTACTATTTGCTCAATATAAATATATATAATACGCAATGTACGAGGAAAGGTCAGGCTTTGAGACTGACACGATCCGTTATGCTCTTTCACCAGAAAAAAGGCGGCGCTCAACAAGCCTCTCTTTTTCTTTCTTTCTTTTTTTTCTTTTTTTTTTTGTCGTTATCTCTCGAGTTAAGCTTGGCTTAATGAAAACATCATATATACTCTCTTTCCTCTCATCGGGGGCATTATTTTTGATATATTATTATTGTTGTGTACGCGAGGACGAAAGGAGAAAAAAATCGACTCTCAAGCTGATTGCTAAAACATTATCGGCTGAGCCGTTTTGTCGAAAGACGAGATATTATAACATACGTTTATAACGTTTCATAAAAAAAGTACGAAATCTTTTGTTTGTCGCTCTCGGCTATTGGTTAACGTGCGAGTAAATGAACTCCCTCGAGGCGTTCGACTTTTATCGCCGAATTATTATTGCGCTCATTATTATTGGCAATTCGCGCGAGCGCACATCGCGTTATCGTATATACTCGCGGCAAAATTACAAGACAGATAAACAAACAAAAAAATAACAGACTGGAATTCGAGCAAAGTTTATTTATGACAGAGACGACAAAATCGATCGAGTTTCGGTGTACGCGTATTTTTTTTATTACGAAGAATCGATGAAATTGAAAAAAACCGCCGAGTTTCTATAATTAGTGGCCGATTTTAGCGTAGCTCATAATGAATTCTAAGCTCGGTATAACTTCCAAGCATGCACGCTTCGACGACAACGCTCATTGTTTGTAAATTAGAGCTATAAGGCACTCGCGGCAGCGAAAAAAAACCGCGAAGCGATCGCCGCGTTTGTACAATTTGACCGTAAGCAGGAGTCGCGAACGCAACGTAATACAATGCCAGTCAACGCGTTAAATAATACCGTAAAGCGAAAAAAAGAAGCGAAAAAAATATTACGTCGCAATTGGTTGTTGTCGCGATGCGGAAGCTCGAGTACGATATCGCGCCGATTGAGCCCGAAGCGACTCTTGATACGCTCGGTCTTAACTTATCGTTCGCGTAGTAGATATAGTACATAATGCATTTAAGTAAAGAGATGGAAAGCGCACGAGCTATGCATCTCTGTGTGTACGACTCCGTCTGTCTCTCCCCTGCATGTAAACAATGCAAAGTTGTTGTATCGTGTAACGAATATCGACCAAGTTTTCGGGTCAAAGTTACACGGCGCTGTATATATAGTTTTCATTAGTAGCAACAGCAGCGAGACAAGTACACACAATATGAAGTAGACTCGAGCTACTGTCGAGAGAGAGCTCACAGCGCCGCACTTCCACCATGGCAGCCTAGCGACTGATATATACAGGCACTGGTAGACAGGCAGCGCCGGAGCAGCATTTAAACGCGCTCGCAATTACGAGACGAAGGCAGGTAGGTAGGTAGGTAGTGGTGCATAAGGTTAAACCGATTACGCTGCCTTTGGCTCGCGCTCGAGTTTCCTCTTGTAAATATGCACTATATTATATAGGTGAGAGGGCATGTTTTGGCTAATTATAGTCGATTGTTTTTGGGCGCTCTCGAGTGCTCGATGTGCCAGGATTAGTAGCTGCTACTGAAGCAGTTGGAATTTTTCGCGCGACAGGCTGAAAAATTTAAAAGGCCGTAATATGCGTTCTAGGGGGCATGTACCCACGCAGAGATAGCCTGACGGCCGTGGAATGCAACGTTATATATCCATACGACCCGAGGGATGCGGGAATTTCGGTACTGCGGACTTGGATATAGTCGCTACGAGAGTATTGATCCGTGCGCAGAGAGAACAGCAGCAGCAGCAGTAGTATCAGCAGTTGCTCCTATATCTATAGGTGCTGCTACAGAGAGCGATGCTCTCTCTTGTATACATATAGCAGTACTGCTGCTGCTGCTGCTGCTGCTGTGCGGTGACTCCTCCCTCGTGATCAGCCCCTCGCTCGCTCATGGGCTCGAAGCTCCGCAATTCTCTCTCTGCTGCTGCTGCTACTGCTTGCGTTCGAGATGAAAATTAGCAAGGAGCACGCAAAAGTAGCGCCGGCATTCGGATATGTAACGATCAAAAGAGGTAAAGCGATGGCACAGTGGGTTGAAGTAAAGAAGGAATCGTCGAATCCTGACGAATATATACGAACACATCTAGCGCACTCGGCGTTTGAATATAATTATATCGCTCGCGCGAATCTTCGCAGTCGACGGTGAACATATATACGTATACGCAAGTAAGCGGGAAATACGAGAAGCGCGAAAGGAAGTCGTACATATACGTATATATACTCACGCACGAAGTTCGCGACTGACGGAAGCCACGTGTTTCGCTACATATATAGGTATATAACGTAGCATGCATCGTATAAGAATCAATAATATGCACCTCTGCCGCATATACGAGCACACGCGGACTCGAACGAACGCGCGAAATAGCGCCTGCACGCAACGCGATATACATATAGGTATATCGAAGTCTATAACGCAACTACCTCAGAGACTATATCAGCCTATATTATATATATATAATGTAATGCTTGTGTGTGCGCGCGCGCGCGCGAGTGTGTACGTACATGGGCGTGACAGGCTGTCTGCATGCATAAATGCAGCTGCCATGGAAATGCGTGTACGTAACGAGACGATATAGCATGCTTAGGAGCCCAGGCGTTTCGATAAGTACAGCACGTACAAATTATATTCGCTGTAAGGCTTTCGGTTCGAGTTGCATTAATAGTATGCGACTTAATGTGGTGCGGTGTTTAGATGTATAGATAATTCGAAGAGTTCGATCGAAATTCAGCCAACTTGTAACGAAAAACACCTGCTACTACAAAGTCCTCGGGATTTTATAAATCCTTTTTTCGTTATTATTTCTTTGCGTTATGCTTGCCACACCCCGTGTATACAGCTCGAGCTCGCAAGAACAATTGCAGCGCGCATAGAGAGCTTAGAGACCCGCGGGGTCTTGAGCCCAAATTACTCCACGAGTACAATGGCTCCTGCTTCTTTTTTTCTTTTTTTCTCTTTGCCTCCGCGCAGGATAACGAACTTCTAGGCTCTATACGCACGCTTGCGAGAATGTATAATGCATGCTATATAATAGCAAGGGGTTAGCATAGAGAGCGAGTGCACTACACATCGTAGGCACTTGAGCGAAATTAACGCGCTACGGATTTAGAAAAGAAATATATTCATCGACGATCGCAACAATGCCCATATGTACGCGCACACATACAAGCTCACAGCTGATTGTCGTCGTCGTCGTCGTCGTCGAGCCAAAGTTCTCACACTCTCTTGCGCGCGATTTTTTTTTTCTACTTCGTCGTCGCGCATAATACATACAATATATTACATACATACACAATACACATGCATGCGAGTATACATGCAAACGTACGAATGCGCGCGCGGAAAAAAAAATCAGCCGCGAGAAAACTCGTAAGCTCGCGCGCGCGAGAGTCCTTGATCCGTAATATATTACAAGTACAAATGAATTTTTATTACGGCACGTTGAGCTCGCGATGCATTATACGTGTGTGTGGGTATTATAATGTATATCGGTTTGCGCAATTTTCGCGCGGCAGCAACACACGCGACTACATATAGCGCGACTCACGATTATTGCATACTCACACACACATCTGCGGCCTGGGACATAATAATTCGTGTGGAATCACGTGCGGAAGGTGGAACACATATATAATAATACATATAATAATACGTAGCTGCGTCGTGCAAACTATTATAACAGCATCGCTCGGTATATAGCTTTTATTACATTATTACCAGCGCGCCGCCTCACGGCTTACATACTTGTCGAGAGAGCAGCAGCATGGTAACCTCGCGCAAGGCCATCTCCATCGCACATGAGTCTACTGCTACTATATATAGCAGCAACACACGAGCATTATAAAACGTGCGCGGGGGGCAGGTGTGCAGCTCGATTACCGCGTGTCTGTCGCATATTGCAAGCTCATACGAAGATGAGTCCACGAATTTAACGGCCACTTTCATAAGTTGATCCTTCTTTCTTCTTCCGCCGTTCTCTATACTCATTCACGTGAGTTCGTTATTAGAAATGAAAAATACGAGATAATTAGTCGAGTCGGAGCTGCAAACGCTACCGATGCTCACTCGGTGTGCTATGCTGTAGTAATGCGATGTAATCCGTTGCTTTTCAAGGCCTCTTTACGCACGTCGCGCAATGATGCCGTTGACGTTCTCTTTTTTTTCTCTCTCTCTCTCCAACTTGGATACATCGTTGTCGTCGTCGTCGTCGTGCATAACGCTGCAGGAGCGTTTTGAAATAATGCCGCTGATGATCCACGTTAGTGAAAAAAAAGCAACTTAACGAGAGGTCAAGGTGAAGTACTCGATTGTGTCGCGGAGCGAAACGAAGCGAAAAAAAAATGAAACACCTTTTTGACGTTTGAGCAAGTTATAAGTTACTTCACCGTACGGACTTGTATCATATAGTTAAAAAAGCGAGAGCACACAAGTGCCTCGGAAAGGTGTTAAAAACTCTTTCACATACGCACGTACGTCGATTCCACGTAATAATTTCCCAATTGCACCTGTACGATAATCATCGTCCGGTATACACAATGTACGAAGGGAGCTTTATATCGCTTTGACGTGTGCGTTTCCTCGCGGCGGTGTACATTGACTATTATATACACACAGACATTCATACATTATATCGCTGCGCGTTATAAATTGCAGCAAACGACGAGCTACTCTTTCTCTCTATACATACATATACACATAAAAATAATTATGTGGCGCTCGCCTTTCGCGATCCCGAGTGATCTATGCCAAGGAGCTGTGGATTTCCTCTCTCGTCCCAAGGAAAATGCAA